CAGCTGCGGCCGGGACAGCGTGCGGGGGGCCACGTCCCACTGCCCCGGCCCCTCTGGGACTGTGGGCAGCCCTGGCACTGCCTCTGTGCCATTGTATGGGGCCGGGGAGGAGAAGGAGGAAGAGGAGGAGGAGGAAGGCTGGTGGGTGTGAGGCTGGGGCGCAGGGCTCTGGGTGCCCCATGGCGAGGGGTCCGGCACGGAGGTCCCTGGCTCCTCGGCGATGTGCAGGTCCAGCGCTGGCAGTGAGCCATGGCTGGCGGCGGCCCCACAGAGAGGGTGATCCAGCACCCCTGGGAAAACGCTTCCATGGGATGGGACCTTCTTCAGGCCAGGGCTGGTGGCTGGGGGGGTGCCCGGTGGCAGGAGGGGCCTGGTGGGTGCAGGGCTCTCCAGGCTGGAGGACGAGCTGCGCAGGCTCTCGCCATCGCTTCCTGGCCCCGTGGCAGAGGCCTGGCGGGTCTGGAAGGAGGCAGTGCGGGCGATGCCGGTGCCGGCAGTGCCATTGGCTCGGCCAGTGGCATGGCTGGCACTGAGCCGGGTCCGCAGCACGGGGCTGGGCGCTGGGCTGGGGCCGGCGGCAGTGCCCGAGCAGGGGGGTGGGCTGGGCTGGAGCAGCTGCTGGTTCTCGCCGGTGCCCGAGGACAGCGGCAACACCAGTGGGAAGCTGGGTGCCTCATCCCCATCCTCTGCCTCAAACGACTTCTTGAGTGCTGTGGGCAGAGAGATGATGGCATGAGAGTGGCACCTGATGGCATCCACTAATCTCTGCCCCGTCCCCAGCCCCATGGAAGTCCCCCCAGCACCCGCAGGTGCCCCTCGCTTGTGGGCTCGTCCCACCCAGGACCCCACCCGCAGTCAGCTCCCTCCCAGCCCTGCCGCATTGTCCCAGGTTTTATCATTGTTCCCAGGTTTATCTCGCCCGGGTGGCCATGCCTCCGGCTGCCCTCACACACACTGCCCGCTTTATTCCCCCTGTAAGGGATCTGGCCGGGTAACCAGATCCCCGCCCGACCCTCTCCCCCTGCATCCATCCAACAGTCGGGATGGGAAGGATTCCTGCCCTTTACAGGGCGTTAACCCTGAAGCCTACTGATGGCAGGCAGGCAGAGCTATCACCGCACGCAGCAGGACCGCCACAGCTCTGCCTCCCATGCGGCTTCACAGCAGCCACGAGCCCGCGGCACGGCCCCGGGGTGCGAACGTGCCCCCCACATGGATCCCCCAACCTCAACGTGGGGCCTGGCTCCAGCGCAAAGCCCCAGAGGTGGG